TATTAGAGAGTTATTGAAGTAAAACCGAAGATTTATTAGGTGGTTATTGGGGTTAATGCATGGATTATTAAAGTGGAACCATGAATGTTATTTAGGGGCTATTGTGGGGTTATTACAGGGAGTTATTGAAGTGAAACCGCAGAGGTTATTGTGTGGGTTATTGTGGGGGGTTACTGGAGTGAAACCGCAGAAGTTATTTGAGGATTATTATGGGGTTATTGCGAAAGTTATTGCAGAGAGTTATTGAAGTAAAATTGCGAAGGTTATTGGCGGATTATTTAAGGGTTATTGGGGCTTATTGCCGGGGTTATTGCAGGAGTTATTGAAATGAAACTGCGGAGGTTATTGAGGGTTATTTAGGGGTTATTGCGCCGTTATTGGAGTTTATACCCAATAACTCCCAAATAACCTCCAAATAACTCTCAAAATAACATCTACAATTCAACTCCAATAATTAAGCGCTATTTACGTACGTCATAAGCACATAATTCTGGGTGCATATGACCTCCAATAACCTCCCAATATCTAAGTTATTGGGGGTTATTGAGAGTTTATTAGGAGTATTAACCCAAATAACATGTCAATAACCTATACATACAGACGCTCATCTTTTTACTTTCATTCAAGGTTTTGTGAGGTTATTGGGGGTATTAACCCAATAACAGCGAGATAACTCTCTAATAAGCTCGAATAACCGTCTCTGCGTGCGTATGAAGTACGTAAATATTTTTTTCAATAACCTCTAAGATTTCACTCTTATAATCTTCGGGACCACTCAGAATAAAGTTGGGGTTTTAATTTTATTTTAGAGAAGTGGCGGCATATTACTCGGTAAGTAATTTCCCTCGCCCTCTCCTTTTTCGTCCAAAACCATCGCCTTTCGCGATACAGTAGCAATTGGAGCTAGCTGAGAACTAACGACGGGATCACGGCTTACAGAGACCCGAAGCTCCCATTCTTCTACTCCTTCCGCTCCTCTCCTACCCGAAACCATTGAGGAAGGTAACTTCAGATCTTTCTTTTCGCGCGAAAGCATTCCGGATTTACTCAATCCGCTGATTCACGGGATTTGGTAAATCCGGGATTTAAGACCGAAATCTTTGAAATCCAGATTTATCAAATCCGAGGCTTTATCTTATCCCAAATGACCGTCTGGCAAGATTTAACTTAAATCCAGCTTCAATCCTGCTCTAAATCCGTTACCAGACATGCCCTAAAAGTTTCCGGGTCCTAAATTGTCACTTGTATAGACTATGATACTAAAACGAGCTCTTATAAAAGGTGAGGGGACAATATTAACACTTTTCACCATTTTGAATGCTATATACTATGAGTATCTCTTTTGCTGCATCCTGATTTTGGAATACGTCTTATGTTATAATTTCATTGTACAAGCTGCATTTTCAATTATGTTGGTGTTTAGCTCATCTCTCGTTCTAATTCTGCCTCACAGCAGCCTCAAATACAAAATATAATGCAAGAAACACAACCTGTAGTGCAAGCTCTAGCTGCCACACATTGTAATGAGGACAGTGCTAACCATCAATTGCCATCGAAGCGAAAGACACGTCTTCATCCACAATCAAAGCAAGGCAATGTCAGTCTTCAGATCACCCCAAGTTCCCGTTGTACTCGATCTCAAGTCGCTCCTGATTGGACATTGCAGGAAGTACTCGTTCTTCTTAGTGAAATTGTCGCCATAGATGAGGTCTGGCTTAAAGAATTATCATCCTATCAACGATGGAAGATGATATCGGACAACTGCTTGGCCATGAATGTTGTCAGGTCCTCAAACCAGTGCAAAAGAAAGTGGGAAATGTTGCTCGCTGATTACAAGAAAATCTTGAATTGGGAACTGCTGTCGAGGGAAGAGTCCTATTGGTCTCTTCCAGAGGAGAGAAAGAAGGACTATGGGCTTCCAGTTTCGTTTCAGAAAGAGGTCTTTGATGCAATGGATGCTGTTATTCAGGTACAACAACAACAGTCTGACTCGAATAATAGTGATCCCGAGCAAATATATAGTGTTGCGGAGCTTGAAAGATCCACAATGAATGCTGACTCAGGTATGTTTAGTTGTTTATTTTCGAACTAATTTTATTTAGGAAAGCTTAAAGGGGAGAATTTGATGATGTTATTCATTGAATATATAATCTTATTTATAGGTGTGCATGACTAATATATTTGGAAATAAATAAATAGGAGAATTAGAATAATTGAAGAGGAATAAATTGATACCTTGCAAATATTGTTTTTCTAACAAAGTCTCATATGCTGGTACTGCCTCTTAAGTTAAAGAATATATAAACAAATATGCTTGTTAGCTTCAGTTTGACACATAAGAGAGAACAACCTATGATCTATAGCTTTGATAAGAAGTTTCACCACTTTTATAAATAGAAAACATGAGCACTAACAATCTTCTTAGGAGACCCAACATTTTGTATGATATGATAATTTATAGGCATTTAGTCCTTTCATGGAATACTGGATTGTTGGCAATGTTTATGGCCGCGTGATTGTCCTAGTATAGAAATATATGCTAAGTTATTTGAATAAATTTTCTAAGGGCATCATGCTTCAGGATTCTATATCCAGCTATAACTTTAAATCTAGCCATGAAAAATGCTTCTTACTCTTTCTGGTGACCATATTCCTCTCACAAAAATATAAAATATCTCGAAGTTGATTTTATGCCATCAAGAGATCTAGTATAGTCAACATTTATAATGCATCAACATTTAAATTTTATGTCTGAGTTTACAACAATATTTTCCTTGTAGCTTTTTTGAATCATCTAAAAATGAAAATAATAGCTTCACAATGTTTCTTAAAATTCATACAACAAGAGATATCCCACCATGTTATCAACAAATAAATTAATTTTCCAACCATTCTTCGATGCTGAGTTGGATCACTACATATAATATCATGACAACAAGCATGATTTGGTTATAAATTAGGTGTCAGCGTATTTGCACACTAGAAAAACATATTTCTTGAAGGATATAAGTGGCATGTTTTCTCTAAAATAGAGAAACGAAAGTGAAGTTGAACAATAAAACGGCCGACAATTTTCTCTAAAATAGAGAAGCCCATTATTGTTGTAAGCAAATTTGATTCCAAGAAAATATTTGGGAAGTTTTTAGATCTTTGGCATAACAAAATTCTATGAGTAGTGCTTCTCTCTAAGATGCATTCTTGATCACTTTAGTGAACAATATATTATCTATGTAAATGGTTAAACAAAGCACACTGGGGCATATTTGTAATGCCCCATAACCGAGTGTCTTTGTCTCTTCGATATTTTAGTAAATGAACGCATTGGAAACGAAAGAGAGGGAGTTAAATGAGCTTTTCAGCCTTATAAGAAGGAACAATATCACCTTTCTTAGCAAATGACTTCGAAACTCAGAGAGGAAGGAGAACTTGTCAGAGTCGAAGCTGAGGTTTTCTTCATGTGCAAGGGAAGGCGTTGAAGCCATGGGGGGGAAATACCATACGCATCTATGCATGTCGATCTAATCCCTAGTCGAAGGTAGACTACGCTGCTGTCAAATAGAGAGGAGCCGAAGTCGCTATCAAGCAGAGGAGGAGGTGAGTGTGGGAGAAGCTTCTTACTTGCATAGTGACGCTCGATCCTAGGTGATCGAGCTGAAGAAAAAAAGGGAAGAAATTGACGGCGTGGCAGGCTCGGAGGCTTTTGCGTAGCAGTGAACAAGCAAGATCACTTGCAAACGCAGAAGAGCTCTCCAGCATGCATACAATCTTTTGATCGAGTTGTGCAAAAGGTTGACGTTTGATTTAAGGTAAGTTTTAATTTTTTTTTCAATTAAGTTGTTTAATTAAACTTGTATATATATAAGTTTATTTTATGTGCATTTAAAACCATGATTAAGACTATAAAAATTTTACTTTTGGATCAAAAAAAGGGCAACGGTAACAAAGAAATGTTAGGGTTATTATTGGATATTATTTATATTTTATATTATGATGTTAAGATGAAATCATATTACTTATACTAGAAAATAATGAAAACTTAATACTTAAATAATGAAAAGTTTATATTTAATTAAAATAGTAAATTATTAAATTATTAGTAAAATGATTACCCATGTTATTATAAGCTTCAATTTTAGAAGAGTCGTGGTCAAGTCAAATCCAAGAACAAATTGATCGTCATCAAGGTGAGTACTGACACTCTTAAATTATAGTATCATTTTTGTATCTCTTCTAAACCAATTGTATGAATGATTATTGATGCTTAATTAGTGAAATTGTTTTCCTCTAGTCTTAACTTTTATCAGATCTTTCGATATGAATGCTTGTAGTCTCACATTATGAAATGTTCTTGCATTATAGTAATAAATATTACATATAGAGTGATTTGACATTGTGAATGATAAGAACTGTATTGATTGTTTGTATATGTATGGTTTGACTATGATGACGTCACCTCTTCATGTTTATAGCAGGTGAATACTATGGTAGTCGTGCACGTAAATGAAAAAAAAGGATGTTGAAGTATCTAAACTGATATAATTTTTATATGACACTCTTGTAACAGTTGTGCAAACATAGAATAATATAGATATGCTATTGATGTAGTAAAATACATTGAATATTATGAAATATTTTAAGTGATCATAAACTATCCAATGTTTTATACTAATTCATTCAAAGCATAAATGAAATACATATTATTTTCTTTTTCTATGTGCTACTGCAGTTTAGGAGTGCGAGTATTCATTGAATATGATTAGCTTTTTATTAATTAAACTAACTTTTCAAATGTAATTAATTGATTAAAAGATCAGCAATAGAAGAGAAAATGTTTATGGAAGATGCTACAACCTGTATAGGGTTAAATTTAATTGCACTGCGTTAAATTTTTTTTAATGGTTCTTTCTTTGTTAAATGTTAGTTATAAAAAATGAATATAAAAAACTTGATTCTCACCGTCCAATCGTCTGTATTCGTCTTCGTTATTTCCAAGACTCGGGCCAGGTTGTGACAACATTATTACATGTTTGACAAAAATAAAACGATCAATGGAATCATTTCATAGTCAATCTTCTTAAGCATTTTTCAAAAATTACCAAACCAAGCTTCTGCATTTTGCTTGAGCCTATAAATAGTTTTTCTAAGTAAAAAGCTTGAGCTTTGATTGCTTGACTAAATATTTGGAAGTGCTCAATGACTTATGCTTGACATTTTGATAAATACACCTTATTTACTTTAAAATAATTGTTAATTAATATTACAAATTACATAACCCTAAGTCAGCCAGAACAAGTATTGAATCTTAAATATCAGAATGAATTAACTGGAAAAGATGAAGAAAATGAAGTGGATGACATAGACGGCACATGATAATATTTACCCAGTTGATAAGCATAGCATTCAAATTTGGAGATAGAAGTGATAAATTCCTTAATTTTCATGTTACTGTGCAAACAAAACTGATTCTATATCCGGCTATCACATGACCATGTTGAATTTCATCCCGGCAGTCCTAGTGCATATTTAATAATATGAAACTTCACATATATAACTCCACAATTCCTATGTATTTACATTTTTAACTCCCAAATTTTAATATTTACATTTTTAACATTTTGGTGTCATAAACCGAGGCATGAAAAAGTGTATTTCACTTTTAAAAAGTAGCGATGATGGTATTTTCGACATAATGTTAAAGATTTGAGTCGTATGCATGTAAATATGAATGTCTAGGTGTTAGACATGTAAATACATAAGAATTTCTAGGTGTGTATGTATATGCCTCTTAATAATAAATTTTATCCCAGGTGGAGTTTACTTTTTGTATTGATAAGCATGCTAAGGGTCTAATTGCCGATCACTTATTCCACACCATTACTTCCCATGATGGAATAGAGTGATTGATTTTTATGGAGCCCAATAGATAGTTAAATACACACTGAGCTTTAAAATTCTCTATTTTCTCCAATAAACATGCAAGGCAATAAACATGCAAGGACATCGATGCAATACCAACACAATAAAAGTCGATCCCCAACATGAAAGAAAATATAAGGGAAATTTACATACATGCCGCACAACTCTTATGTATTTACATATCTAACACCTAAGTTTGGGAACACAAGTAGTTGGTGATCAATGGGATTGCAACTTAAATGTAAAATTTAACATCTATAGAAAGGAAAAAGTGGCCAAAAGCTTGTTTGTGTATTAATAGACAATACGGCCAAAAAATAATTGAAAATGAATACTTATTATAAACTAAAAAAAAATTGCCATTCAAAACTTTCTATCTTGGCCGGTGAGAGAAGGGAGCAATTTGTGGCAGCCTTACTTTCATGTTAAGCACATGAATTTGTGACACTTCTTCCATGTCAAGCACTAATCTTTGGTGGTTATTTTAATCATAGTTGGCGTTGGTGCAAATTTTAAATAAAATTTTTGTCAAAATAGCTTTACACTGATTGGGTTGGTGATTGGCGAGATGCTAACTAGAGTATCCATTTTGAAATAAATGAAGGTTTAGCATACACAGTTAATTTGTGGTTGTTCTTTATAATAGTTATTTGCCTCACTTCTGACAAGCCTTTCAATAAAATTTTCATGTCAAAATGATCTTCAATGGCTTGGCTAGTGCTCACCATGTTGTTAAATAAAATATCAACATTAAATGAGGAAACACACACACAACACTTAAAATTTACTTATTTATGAAATTAATATTCATGTAATTTCTTTTGAATTACTAAACTTGTGTATTTGTGCGTGCCATAATCAATCTATTACGAATATGACAATAATGAAAAATATGAGTTGAGGTTCTATTATGAATTTTGATTTTTTTTTTTATGAGAACTTGAAAAGTGAATGTGTGAGAGTAATAGTTTTCACAAGTAGTTTTATTTGATTGACTTTTTTTTTTTTTTAATCACAAGCCATTGGCATGGGTTAGACATGTAATTTATATATATTGCATTTTTTTTTTTTTAAATAGAATCTTGTGTTCTTGATGTGAATAGACTTCTAGATCAAATGACAAATAATAGGATCAAAATTGTAACGCTCTATATTGTAAAGTTCTCATTTTCTCATTATTAGTGTGAGGCACTTCGTGTGATATGTTTCCATCTTGTATTCATGATGTGCTGAGAGGGGATCTGTTTGTTTCCAAGTGAAATATGTCACCTTGTCTGTTCAAATTTTTTAAATTTTGATAGTGTGTTAGAACAATAAGTTCTCTTAGAAGTGTTTGTTCATTATTGACGAGTTTTAATATCCATGTTCATGTTTTATTACTTGTCTGAAGATGAGAAATTTTTGTCAAGCTGATTTTTTTCTAGATAAATTTACATGTTAGAACACAATTATTATGTATTTACATCTCTCAAACCTTAAGTTTGATATTTGCACGCATAGAACTTTGGTGCTTTAAACCTATGCATGAAAATGTGTACCTCACTTTTAAAATGTGGTAATAATGCTATTTTTTATGTGATATTAAATATAAAAGTTAAGTGTATTGTGTGAGATATGTAAACTCGTAAGAACTGTGTGCTATGTATGTAAATGCCCCCTTAATTCTGTCATAAACTCTCTTTTTCCCTCCATGCATCTCCTTCACTCCATTGCTATTGCCAGAAATTTCCATGCTATATCTGCCCAGCTCACTTCACGAAGTGCAAGTGGTCACTTCAATGAGTCCTAAAGTAAATGAGTCAACTTTGAAGCGCCCAGAGAAAGCCCTTGTATTAGCAGGTCCCTTCCTCTCTTTCTCTCTCTATTTCTCTCTTGCTGTCTCCTAAACTTCCACAACATCTTCTGCTGTTTCTATAGGGGATAAGTTGATTACCAGTTTGAACAGCCCCAAAGTGGGAGATCTGATCACAGTTTCAAAGAGCTCTACAGAGAGACATGAAATGGAAGAGCTGAGCACAGCTTCAAAGAACCCAGAAGAGAGACCAGACGTGGAAGAGCTGATCACAATGTCCAAAAGTTCAGAAGTAGAAGAGCCACTCACAACTTTAAATAGCTCTGAACAGAGGGTAGAAGTGGAAGAGCTGAACTCAACTTCGAAGAGTGTTGAAGAGAGAGCCGGAGTGGAAGTGCTGGTTAAAGCTTCAAAGAACGGAGAAGTGGAAGGCTTAATCACAGCTTCAAAGAGCCCAGTATTGGAAGAGTTGATTACAGGTAGGAAGCCCTTGTAGTGGCAGGGTTTCTCTCTCTTTTTCCTCACCTTTTGCTTTCATTCATCTAAAAATTCCCTGCAATATCAACCTCTCAGTTCCCGTAGAGGAAGACTATATCAACACTTCAAAGAGCTCAGAAGTGGATGAGTTGATCACAACCTCTAAAAGCTCAGAGAAGGCCAGTGTAATAACAGGTTCTCTCTCTCTCTCTCTCTCTCTCTCTCCACACGCGCGCACACACACAAATGAGAGTGTGTGCAAGGTTGCCGGATTGGTAAGGATCTGCACACATACATTACTATCCTTTTAGAAGGATAGAAGTCATTCTCCTACATCATCTACTCTATTTTGATATTTGAATGACTAAGTTGATATTTGAATGACTAAGTTTAACATAGATAAAACTCTTAGGGAATGTAAAAAATAGCTTAAAGTTTAGCTTTAACCATTCTAAGTCCCAGCCTTTCAAATATTTTAATAGAGGCTATACGATTTGTATAGAGAACATACTTATGGGCTGTATGATAACAGCTTTAGAAGCTTTAGGGGCTGTTTGGTAGTGCCTTGAAATAGAAGTCATTATTGGATTTACTAAATCCAAAAGGTAAAATGCAAGAGTTCCGTGAATTTATGATTTTTTGGATTTAGTAGCTCAAAATTTGCTCAAGTTGGGCTTAAATCCAAATTTATTAAATCCAGGGGTCGGGTGGATTTACAAATTTACATCCTCTTACAGCTCTTGAACAGGAAGAACTGATCACTACTCCAAATAGCTCAGAGAAGGCCTGTTTAATAAAGGCTAAGCTACAGGAGAATGCAGAGCATATCTGTGCCATATTGAGAGCCGAATTGCAGACAGAATCTTTGAACCCAAGTGCTGAAGAGAGACAGTTCGCAGAGACACAGTTCACTCGGCGTACAGCTGACGAGGTAATCAAGTCCCTTTCAGAGCTCACGAACTCTCTAGACGAACTATACGACCACATGGGTGGGCCCAAATGCGCCGGAATCATGCCCGTCGACTCCATGGCCTGAAGAATATATCCCAAATTGGTCCCCCGGTTACTCGGTTGTGACCGATTCAGTTCGAGTTTTGCAGTGTGCCAACTTAGTTTTTGGGTTATTAAAATTGATGCCAGTTGATATATCGTGTAGAAATCAAAATGATCTCAATTTAGCCCCTCAGCTATACAGATTGATCCCAATTGATCAATTGTGTAGATATCATGACACAAGAATGGTTTCAATTTAGTCCCTCCGCCACACAAATTTGATCTCAATTTACTCTCAGAAGGTCCATTTGGGATCAATTTTTTGGGGTAAATTGGAGCAATACAAAACTTTGGGACTAAATTCGTCACACCTAAATAGTCGGGGACCATTCTGGGGTTTAAATTGTTTGTTGCTTGCTATCTGAAATTAGGAGCAGTTTCTCAGATAGTTGATAAGGCTTTATTTGTATGGCTTAGGGGAGGTTTTGTGCTTTAATTTGTCTTGTTTTTAACTGTATTGTTTTCTTTGTAATGGAAGCCGGCAATTGTAGTTTTCGCTAATGTAGCAGCTTGCTTGTTCTGTTGATCTATTTTCTTAGGGGCATTTACGTACTTGACACCAAATTATGATGTATTTACATATCTAACACCTCTACTTCACTTTTTTTGTTTATACAACCAATTTTTTGAAAAATATAACCATTTTAACTTTGGAAAGGGAAATACACATTTTGATGTATAGGTAAGGTGCTAGATATGTAAATACATAAAATTTAAGGAGTCTGTGTGTAATTTTATTTTTATTTTTATTTTTTGTATTGACCTAGGGCATTTCCATGCAGGCCACTCAAAATCCCATGTGCTTACATATCTTACGCCTAAATTTTCACATTTACATGTATATCACTTAAAACTTTAATATGACATTAACAATATAACTAGTTCAATGAAATATAAATATCAAACTTTAGGCATTGGATATGTAAATATGTAAGAATTTTGTGCTATGCATGTAAGGTTTCCTAAAATTTAAAACGTGCTGCTTAAATTCATTATCTTTTATAAAAATTTATTTTATAAACAATTATTTGATTGTTCTCTCTCAAAATTCATTTTATTTAAATTTAATTTTTAATTAAATAAAAAACCCAACTAACCACATGCTGAGGTTATGTTTAGATATGATTTATTTTAATTCTATTTGGTTATATTTTAAATTTTAAAATGAGGTTTAAATATTTGTTTTTGATTTGTTTAATGAGAAAATCAAACATGATTTTTTTTATATAAAATCGAACAAAAATATTAAAAAATTATATATATTTTTACGGTCTCTATTATTAATTATATTAATTTTAGAAAGAAGTTTTACATACATGTTATATAAATTTTATGGCTAATATTTAAATTTTTATATGTTTTTATAATAATTTAAAATCTCAATTATATTAGAACTTATGTTTTGAAAGACTATTTTTAAAAGATTAATATTATTAACTTTTTTATGTAATTTTACAATATATGTATTACTATTATATAAATAAGGAGAATTTACATATATATCAATCATTTTTTATGTATTTATATTTCTGAATTTTTTTAATTATAATATGCGTGAATGCCTTTTTTTATAGAAAAAGTAAGATTTTTATGCAGAATGTTTATGGGCTCCAATAAGAACTTTTGAATTTAAAAAAAAAAATTAAAATTAGGCCCATGACATGCATTTTTTGCTGTGTAGATTTTTAATTGTTTCCCTCGTAAGTATTTTTGGGTACGGTGTGTGTATTGCTAAATTTTTTTTGTACGGGTTCCTAAGGTAACTCTATGTGTGTCGGAAATTATTGCAGAGTTATTTTCAAGTTATTTCTGTATTATTTTCAATAATATTGAAATAATTTGATTATTTTAATATTATTTCTGAATTATTAAAATAATTTAAAAATAACTAAGAAAGAAATAATAGCAGTTGGAACCGGACAGAAAATGCGCTTAATAATTTTTCCTCGAGGAGAAGGAAGATAGAGAGGTGAGCAGGGTTTATGGTCGTGAGAGGGATAGTTAAGATTCCTGCTACGAGAACTATAGCCGGAATCACGGCAGCGATGGAGAAGAAAGACTACGCCCACTACATTCACAAAGATTCCTGCCGCCTTTCGCGGTGGACGGCGAGGTATTGCTGGGCAAAATCTATTTCCTGTTGATTGGACGCTTTTATGAGATGCTAGGGTTTCCTTCTTATTCTTCTCTCGATTTTGCTCTTATTTGTATTATGCAAACCATTGCTGTAGGGAGAGCTTCCAATACATGTATGCAAGGCCTTGGCATAAGGTATCCGATTTCTATCTGGATTTGGTCCGCGGTGGCGGGTATTCATCGCTGTGCAGCCTGTTTTCTTCCGAGGTGTGGTATTAGATTTTGTTCTATTTCACTTTCTATCTTTTTGTTTTTAAATCATTTTGTTTAGTTACGCGAGCAAAGAATGATGGATAGAGTTGTTGTAGAAGGGATAATACGAATTGATGTTGATAAATTTATGTGAAGAGTGGAAGAAAAATCAGGAAATGATTTTGTTCGGAAAAAAATGCATTTATTGTTAATGTTCGGATCATACAATTGCTTGCTTTATTACGCACAGTTTTGTTTTTGTATGAATCATTAATTCTGAAGGACCTTACGAACGTTGAATTGGTATCTGATTCAAGTAAATTTGCTTGTAATGATACTTGGATTAGGTCGGATTGATTTGATCAAATTCCAGGCATAAATTGATTGGTCGAGCCAAATTTGCAAATAATTTATCTCTTTCATTAAGGTTCCAATGGATATTGATCCAGCTTCGATCGGTAAACTGGTCCTACATATGACAATCGTCTTCTCAAATGGGTTTGTGACGCTATGGCTTGGCTGGCAAGGAAGGAATGTGACGACAAAAATATCATCATGCTTTTATAGCTTGGGGGCCACAAGAACTCCCCATGCATCAGCTTTCACCACAACAATTTTATGGTATCCATTGTTGTCAGCGTGTCCTTATCCAAATTATTGTGTCATATATGCTCTATCTGTAATCCAGTAAGCTCCAATATTAAAATTGGCCATTCAAAATGGAAGACAAAAGATTAGGATAAGGTTCTAGAACAATCTGGGACAAGCTTTGGGAACCTTCTAAAATGTGCAAAGAACCTACTGCAACATTTGAAGAACCTTTAAGATGAAATTGGGAATATTTTGGATATATGATAAAGATGAATACAAAGTTAAACCTCCTTGCATACAAACATGGGGTGAAGCATATCTTAAGGAGAAAATGATAGAGTTTTTTTAGAATCAATTCTTAGTTTGAGATGATCAACAGTTTACATTTTTATGGGGTAGAATTGCGAACTTGATTTATTCAAATATGGTTGTAGCAAGAAGAGATCGAGAGAGTGGAATGAATTTGCAATTTTATTATGCTTGGACTTGCATATCTTGAGAGCTGTTGCTTATGTATCCAATATTAAGGAATACATTATTTATATTGTTTTAGGATTTAGATTGTTCATCCTTCGGACTAATATTTGTCATAGTTTGCCTTTAAGAGTTTCCATTTTCTTTGTACATATCATATAGGATGACTCTGTGCGTAGAAGAGTTCACTACCTTCCACGAAGGCTTATAAAATTTGCTTTTTCTTGATGCGTGTTTAAAGGTTCTAATAAGATCTTCTTTCCGCATAGATATGAGATGCAAACCTTGTCTTCTTTGTATTTTATTCCCCTTGATTAGTCACATTTGATGTATGCTTATGACAGAGGCAAGATACTCTAGGCACTGCCTGTGATTGTTCTATTGCATGTAAAGCACATGCCTATATTGAATTTTTATTGGGCTGTTACGTGTCATTTCCCAACTCCTATCTTAGACTTTTTAATGCTTGTGCTCCCATTTCTTGTCTCAATAGGGCCAAGTGTCCCAAAACTTTGTAGGGAGGTCAGTCAGGTTTTGGTGTCAATTTGCTGGCATAGCCTCTTTTTGTTGACCTTTTAAAGTCTTTTGTGAATATTCCCTCAAGTTTTTCCAAATGATTGTTTAGAATCACATTTCTAAGCAGTCGTGTAGATGCCTATTGTCTGAATTGCTACTGAAATGGATCTCATCGCTCTTTGTATGGTTAATTTGGTGAATATGTTCTTCTCTCTAATGTCCATCTCGAAAGATATAGTGGCAAACTCATCCTCCAATACGGACACGTGAAGAATTATTCACTCTAAGAATTAGCAGTATCATTGACTTGGATGATCAAAAGTATCTTATTTAAGTTACACTGATACAGAAGTTAGGATTGAACACCTTATTTTGTACGCTTTTTTCAGTACAAAGCTGTTTGTGGAAAAGCATTTCCATGGATTTTTGGAGAGGATTGCCAAAAAGAAAGAAGATCCATGACTACTTCTATGTAGTTTTGGACAAAATTTTAATGATTTTTATTCTAAACTCTTGCAAAAAAAGTAATATTATAAGTGGGGGCTATCATACCTTTTGTTTAACATGTGTATCCTACTTTGTATTACCTTGTTTCATTGTCTTGTTTCATTGTGTTTGATTTTGAGACTGAGCCAATTCTGGGAGGTCTTATGGTCCAAGTGATACCAAATGGAAGAAGAGCACAACTTTTCATCGACAAACTGATGACAAAATGTTGGTGGTGAGATGATGCATGATGCATCTACTATAAATGGCAAGGAACTGTGACTACCTCTATGTGGTTGTAGACAATTTTCTTGACCAAAAGAGGACTAATACAACATATATGAGCCAGAGGAGACGTTCCACATTCACAGTAAAGGTCATTTATCAAGCAAAGGCAAATGGTACACTATGGAAGCTGGCTGGACAGCTTTCCCTCATTTGGAGTTTTAATTTCCATAGGAGTGAAATCCTCCTAAAGGAGGACCAGTGACTTGAGTGTCATATTTAGTAGGGGTGAATGAAATCACCCATAATCTGTATTTAGATATTTAATTGTGGAATATAAAAGTGATCATCCTCGGCTTAGTAACAACACATTAATCTTTATGAACTATTAGTGAACCAAACATAAATAGGTTGAATAATAACGGCCGATCTCAAATTGAGAACAATCAACAATTTGTGAATATGAGCTAAACACGAACACTGATTAATTAATTGGGCTCGAACAGAAATTCATTTGCTTATATGGTACCCTATTATGCGCCTAGCCATAACACCTGGCTAAGGTAAAATTGTTACATTATTTGCATCGGAAACAAAAAATGGATTATCTGGTCATTTCTCTTTCATGTACTAGCTGATGTGTGTGATGAATTTTCTAGTTCATTGCTGTATATATTCTGGCTAACACTTGAAAGCATTAGTTACCTTCTGTGAAGCACATAAGGGTTTTTTTTCGCATTTCATATGATTTCTTACGTTATTAGATGGCAGCAGCATTAAGTTAGTCTGCGTGAAAAATGACATTAAAAGAAGTCACTCCACCATTCCTCTGCAGTTTATGAATGCTGTACAGATATTTCTGTGAAATGAAGTATTGTAAATGCTCAACATGCGAAATGTTTTAGAGGGCCGAAATTTCCAAAAAGAATGCATTATAATTCAGTTTAGTCTACCATAAATGTGTTTGTACTGATAATGTATTATATTTCTAAAAATAGTAATGCTGAATTGAAATATACACATTTAAAAACATTTTTTTATCATAATTTATTTTCATAAATTTTTTCACTCAACTCACTTTTTTATTTTTATTTTTATTTAGATCCATTGTTTTCACCGTTTGCATGTGAACATCTGCTCACACTGATTGACAGAACCTCATGTTTAGTATTTTGATCCATTATTTTGTTTTTAAAGCCATTCATATGTCTACGTACTTCTGTTAATGATATAAAATCCTACTCCCATGTACGATTTTTGCCAGGATCATCTATATCTACAGCCTATTGGCTTTTTTCATAATTTTAACAAGAACAAATTACATATGGATTATTTCTTACTTCTAGATTTTTTTTAGAGTAAAAGATCAAAATAGTCCCCTGATTATTTACATTGAACTTTTTAATCCCGGAGTTTATAAAAGTGTTAAATTAGTCCCAGACTCTTTTGATGGGGGGCTAAAATATTCATCACTGGGGATTATTTACTCATATTAACAAGTTTAGCGACTCAATTGGCACGTTTTTAGGCTTTGGGACTAAGATGACTCCTTGCGAAGAGTTATAGGATCATTTTGAAACTTTTTTTTTCTTTTTTTTTCCTATACACAGGTGTAAGATTTATTTATTACTTTCTGTTTGCAGAAAAATAAATCAAAGTTTGTTTTAGAATACTGTCATGGTGATGAGGAATCAAATCTAGTGAATATACCTTTTGAAAAAGGGAAAGGCAGGTGTGAAAGAATAACCTTCAAGATAGTTCTTTCATACCATGGAGTTTCTTTTGATGGATGGCAGAAACAGCCTGGTTTAAATACTGTTCAAGGGTTTGTTAAACTCTTTAGCCTTGTTTGATTTCAATGTTTAAATAGTATTGCATGTTTCAACTATGTTTTTTCTTTCCAGATTAGTGGAGAAGTC